CATGGGATTTGAACTAAACACCCTATTTGTAAACCTCCACAAATTAATATGTTTTTCTAAATTCAAAATATTCAGAATGCAATCATTTCTTTTAAAGAAAAACACTTTTTTTTAATAATTTGGAACACACAATTAGTTTTCGTTTCTATATTTACAATAAAAAAAACCCGCGCGTATGCACGGGCAATAATCTAGTCTATGTTAATAAAACTATAAGAGTTTGGATCCATTTTGCTGAGGATTTATCTAAAAAAAGCTATGTTTTTGTAGTAATTAAAGATGAAACATATGTTTTGTACCACTTTTCTTTTTAGATGATTTACATGAAAATACCATTTTTGATGTACTACATTTTGAAAATAGCATAAAGGTCAAATCTATTCAAATGTACTACTACCCTGCCATAGTATTCTTAATCTAATGTCATAAACTTATTTCCATAATTTCTTTTTCACCATCGATTTATCATGGACTTCATTTGTAAGTTTCAATTTCTTTTTTGAAAATTGTAAGTTTATTGAATCATTTATCCATAGACTTCATTTGTAAGAACTTTTATCTAACATCTTGTTCAAGGTTAAAAGAATCAAATGTTTGGCCGAAAAATTTGGATGTGCAGAAATAAAAGATTTCAAACACGATTGGTTGTGCCTTTAGATAAACTCTTATAGTAAACAGAAAGTAAAAATCAGTTTAAACAACTAAATAGAAGATAGTTAGATTGTCTTCGTTCTTTTAATTTTGTTTCTAATCTATAATGTTTTCTATTTGTTTAACAAAAATAACTAAAATTCATAAATATTACTATAGCCCAAATGTATCGACTTGCTTTTAAAATTGAACTAGGCAAGAAGTTAGCAATTAACTAAGGTACATACTATAGTTATGATTTAAGAAGTTAGTAAATATTTGTAGATTGGATTTCTACCTTCAACACCGAAGTGCAATATATTATAAAATATAATAAAAAGATATAACACTAAAAATGTGATTAAAAATATATTTAAAAATTAATAGATTAAAATTGTTAAAACTTTTTTTCCAAAACTGTTGATCATTAAAATACAATTATTTTACATACTATCTTTCAATAATACATGATCCAACATTGTTACGGAATAAAATTTACATAATTTAAACATACATAAACATTCGAAAGTATACAATTGAATTGATAAATAACATTAATCTCTTCTACAAAAAATTATTCATACAAAGTCGATGGAAAAAAACTTCGAGATAGAGAAACATCGAATTAATGTTTTGGTTAACTACTAAATTTATTCAAATTTAGTTTGAGTGTCAATAAATATGTTATTGTGGTTGAGTACTAAAATTAGTTTTTATGATTAACTTAAATGATATTATTATCCACAATATAGTTATGGAAAAAAATTAACCAAGTGTTTACTCTTGTCATTGCTAAAGCAATCAATAACATATTCGTCAATGTGATTTATTGTTTATAATTAGTCAATTTTTCAAATACTAACTGGAAACTAACATCATACAACTAAGTAGACACATGCTTAATACAATTTTCTCATATAATTAATCATATATCATTGTGAACATTTTAGGTTGTTGCAACATCTAAATGATATGAAAAATCCTAAGAACATGTAATTTTGTATAAAAATATGTAATTTTTTGTTCATTTTGAAAATAATTATGATATGTTGATTTTTTTTTCATTATCATTGTTATCCTTCTTTTGAAGTCCCAACATTTATTAACCTCTATATAACATGCTAAAAAAATCCAATTATAGCATCCATATCAATCTTGAGCAAAGAAATAAACTAAATCTTTAGTGATATAAAAAACAATCAATCTTTATATTTACATATCATGGGGCACGTTGCTGAAGTAATGATCATAACTATAATTACCAGTTAATTAAAAATATGTCTTGTTGATCGGAAAATTGCCATCAAGATGTGTGTGTTCCATGTTCTGTGTCTCTCCCTCTTGAGCCAAGTAGCCTCATATAGTCTAAATTAAAGATATACAGAGAGCTCGTTCACGTGTTCAAGTTGAACTATCGCTGAGTTAGTTTGTGTCTCAAGTAATTTTTGTGCATATGCTTGACTTCCATTTAACTCTAATGTGACTCTCATTTGGCTTTCGTCTTGGATCATCGGATTATCAAACTGTGAACCAGTAAAATATTTTTGTAACGTCCTGACCGCTGTCGAGGTATCGGTATGCAGGGAAAACCTCATCCCCTCGATAGAAAACTTCATCTCTCAATAACATACAGGAGAAATCCTCATCCATTCAGGAAAAT